GAAAGCGCCAGCACCCCGGCCAATGCCGCCACATCGGGTGAATTCGGTAGGATCACGGAGATCGGCGTGACAAAGGATTTGGAGAAAGAGTAGCAGGAGCTTGGTTGAAGAGTACTGAGGGGCAGAGTGAGTGAGAGAGTGAGCGAGTGAGTGAGTGAGTCAGTCAGTCAGTCAGTCAGTATGCGCATGAGAGAGAGAGAGAGAGAGAGAGAGAGAGAGAGAGAGAGAGAGAGAGAGAGAGAGAGAGAGAGAGAGAGAGAGAGAGAGAGAGAGAGAGAGAGAGAGAGAGAGATAGGAGAGAGAGAGAGAGGAGAGAGAGGAGAGAGGGAGAGGGAGAGAGAGAGAGAGAGAGAGAGGAGAGAGAGAGAGAGAGAGAGAGAAGAGAGAAAGAGAGAGAGAGAAAGAGAGAGAGAGAGAGAGAGAGAGAGAGAGAGAGAGAGAGAGAGAGAGAGAGAGAGAGAGAGAGAGAGAGAGAGAGAGAGAGAGAGAGAGAGAGAGAGAGAGAGAGAGAGAGAGAGAGGCGTTTGTCGGCGGGAGTGAGAAGAAGGAAATGACAGACGAGTATAATATAGGTCTACCGATACGCGCCATGGACCCCATTACAGTCATTGATCGTATGTTATGCAATAGGCAATGAATGATGCATTAATTACATACATCAGATACCATTATTCGCGACGATGTACATGCGTAGCTAGGAGATCGGAGAATGCACATGATTTTTTTATGTATTTCTTCAGCTTATCGCTTAGCTTAGCTCGCTCCACCATGCCAAACTGCCCCTAACGCCACGCAGTTAGGATTCGTCATAGTGTTGGTTTGCGATGAATGTCTGCCATTTTATACGGTAGGTATATCCATAGACCTCTGTACATACACCGTAGGGTGTACAGACAGAGGTCGAAGGTATACCTAATTTGGTTCTGATGATCCCATCAACCGTATGGAGATAGGGGCTAGGGCGAACAATTCTTGTGGACTGTGAACTTGTGGAACATACAGCTAATTTTGAAATAGCAGTATTCAGGACAATTTAATCGTTCTTAATATAATATGCATGTGTTGCACTAATTGTTCAAGTCGGTGTATGAAATACAGCATATTTACGTCTGGACAACGAGTTGCGTTGGAGAGGCCGGAAATAGTGACGATTTCAGGACCGCAAGAATGGACCGTCATTGGAATGATTCTTTTTTAAACCGTGCACTGTTTTCGGCCAGAATTTAATAGTTACTACAAAATATTTTGTAATTACGTTTCCACCAAGAATGAATGCCATCAAGGCTAAATTTTTAATACTATTGCATTTTGTCAAGAAGCCTATAGTGCTGGTATATTGCAGTTTTGGCGCGTTTGTTACAAAATATGAAGCGAATAAGCGTCAGTGTAGGTAATTCATCAACAGTGCCAGAAGTTAACTTGAGGGAAAGCTATGCTAATTGCTCTTGTCAATCCACTAAAATTTATTAAATATTTTGCTTTGTGTATTCCAAAAGGAGAGGGAACTATTTCATGTGTGCCTTCATGTCAGAATTGAAGGTGGATCATTAAATTTTCAACGCAGTTTACAAACAAGCATTTGGTCTTTCTTGTTTATAAGCAGTGGCTATAAGAAAAGGTTGATCAATCCTGAAGTTCAGTCATCGTACCTCAACTTGGCAGCAAGATCCCCCAAGGACAGAGGATATATTGTAAACATGTCCTGTAAATCAAAACAAACAAGCATTTGGTCTTTCTTGTATATAAGCAGTGGCTAAGAAAAGGTTGATCAATTCTGAAGTTCAGTCATCATACCTCAACTTGGCAGCAAGATCCCCAAAGAACAGAGGATATATTGTAAACCTGTCCTGTTAATCAAAACATGTTTGTCCCTGCAAAGGCTTAAGTTATCTGTGGTGTGTTCAGAGTTAGGCTATATGGCCGTTTTTGTTGTATGTTTATGTGGAGATTGAATATAACTGTGACCCTGTGCTTGTTTGTATACATACGGTCAAACAGGGAACAGCACATTCACATAACATACTCACCTAGCACCTAACTCATAGTTGTACCCTGCAGGGCCAGGAGCTGTACTTGTTCATGTCTCGAGCATTAACAAAGCACTAAAGTAGCTTAGTAATCATTTCCCACATTTTCTGAGCATCTAACATGACATACAGCAGTGCAGAGCAGCTTCAGAGAAGAAACACTTTAAATGCACAGACTCACACCAGCCACCCAATGAGCCAGTTCCTCAGTTGACTGTTTCCCTGGATGCAGCTTGGCAATGTGAGCTAACTTTTGGCAAGTTGAAGGTTAGCAGGTAAGATTGAGTTAGGGTGAGTACCTACCTATAACTGGGTGCTACTGCCATGCAGGTCTTGGGTAGGCTGGAAATATGTGTGATGATTGAGGTTAGGTCAGCTGTCAGGTTAGTCAGGTTCAGGTATGCTAGGCTCAGGTCACATTTTTATGGACATTTGGCAAATTAAAAAACTAACAATCAAATCCAAGCTAACCCGACTAAACATACACAACTACTGACTATAGGAACTGAGCACCTACCTACTTGTGCCTACATCTCATTCTCATACCATGTCAAAGTAGAGTTCCTTCGTGGGAGATTACCCTCAGTACTTTTTATCCCAGCCCTGTGAAGAAAACTAATACTTCTAAGCTCTGAGTCACTGCTGGCCATCCACAGGAAGAAACGCTGAGACTGAGAGCTTTGCCATTGTATATTGGACCAATAATGACTATCACGAATGACTATGAACACATAATATGATCACATCGTTGCATGGATTGTCACATTGACAATTTTACTACAATCCTTTTTTCAAAAAATACAGTGATGATGATTAACATCAAAATCAACATAAAGTGGATTTAGTGATCCAAGCTTTCTCCTCCAGTAGCAATGGAATGATCGCATGTTTCATTTGCCAGACACTGAGTACCTGATGCACATTACAATCTGCATAGCATCTAAGCATAGTAAAACTGCCAAAGTCCATTCATTTTAGATTTTAACTTGATAGTTAGCACTAATTTATCTTGCTGCTAATTTATTTATTTATCACTCAATATTCATACCAATACATCAATATGCGCTCATCAGTCAACATTTTCTGGCATGATCCTGCTCAGCGTGCTCTTCAGTATTGCTCCAAGGTCTGCAATATTATAGCTTGTTTTTGGACAATAAGCTCTTTTAATTTTACTTTTTCTTGCTGATATATGAGCCCGATCAACTTGCGTTTATCAACCAAAATTTCATAACTTGTTCAACTTGATATTAATATTGCACAGGAGTCAGGACCTCTGTCATCCTCCTGGATACTTCAGATTGTTTTCAGTCAACATGCTTCTTAAATATGATATAAGTCAATCTTAAGGGATTCAAAACATCCAACAAAACGACGTACAAGAGCAAGAAAACCACCAGATGAACTAAAAAATGGCCTTGGGACAGAGCCAAGTGGTGCTCCATTTCAATTTGTTTGTTTACAATTATTGTAGTGCTGATGTATTTTTAGGACTCTGAACGTCGGCTCATAAAAAATGAAGCGTTTTTACAAAAGTTGTAAGGCAAGTAATATTTATCTGAAATAACTAAAATATTCAAAAGCCAAACACTATGAAATACATGAATTGGAACGAAAAAGTAACCCAAAAATCCAGCCTAATCACCGGCTCCTAAAACTGCAACACAATCAGCACTTTTCCCCGCAACTCGTTGTCCAGACGTAAATATGCTGAAATACACATAAAATGCGTCAACTAACGGCTTTTGTGCAGCAAATAAAACGAAACCATTACTGCCGGATGCATATGAATATTTATGCAAGAGTCTATAAAATCTATACGTCATCAAAATATAGATTTAAACCACACAATGCGAAGTGTGTACCTATCAAGTAACAAGCAACACATCGACACTTTTTTAAACCCCACATTTGTTCTCCGGTGAATTTCAGACAAGTTGGTTAGAGACCTTCAAAAAAGGTACAATCACTCGATTCTTCTCAAGTTTGCCTGTCTTGGCAGATAAAGCAATACCAGAACAGGCCTACGATCACACATATTTGATCAGGATCGGACGATTGGACACTTTTAAAAGGAGATCTTTCGTGCCTCCCGGAAATTCACGGGAGAGCAGATGTGGGGTTTAAAAAAAAGGTGTCGACATTAGTTGATACAATGGTTTGATAACAGTGCTTAAGTAACCAGTAAATAAATTTTCCCAGACATGTTCAAGCACAGACCTGACTGTATAGAGTGATGTATTGAGTGGCCAACTTCAAGGGAATAGCTGCAGAGCCGTGGTACCTAACTGGTAAGGCTGCCCCTAGGGACAGTCGACTTCGTTTGAGTCGTTCAGCTGCAAACCTGGTGGCCGACGAACAGAGCCGTCTTACAGGACGCTGCTATAAACCGACGCACCGCTACGAAGCATTGGCGTCTCGGTTCCCATGAAAACGTATGCGAATACTTGTTAACGTTTCCATAGAAAACGAAGCTCAAGTACCCACAGGCGGATCCAGAAAGGCAGTCTCGGACTCTGCGCGGGAATACCACCAAATTTCTCCAAAATTGCAAAAACTCCTCAAATTTAGATTCTTTACGCACTGCTGTGTAGTTTAAGCAAAGTTTTCCCAATAGAAGTTGTTTAATTTTTCCGTATTCTATAAAAACGACAAAGTTTCGTCGATTTCGGACGGTGCGAGGGGGCACTTGCCCACAATACCCCTTTCCCGGATCCGCCAGTGTTAGTACCTGGTGGCGGCGCGGCGGGTCGCAGGTGCTGTATATAAGGCAGCACCCCGGAGTCAAGATTATTTCACGGGAGTCAGAGGGACAATAATTAAGATCAAAAGAGACGTAAGATTGAATAACAGGATGGTGTTATTTACATATACCTGAATTGTGGAGCGCACCCCGAGGAGAATACCAACAGACAACATGCCACATGCCGGTGACCGATTCGGGAGCGTGCAGGGTCGGGTAGGGGCGGCCAGAGCGGACTGATGCAGGGTCGGGTAGGGCCAGGGGCCAGGGCGGACTGATGCAGGGTCGGGTAGGCCAGAGCGGACTGATGCAGGGTCGGGTAGGGGCTAGAGCGGACTGATGCAGGGCCGGGTAGGGCCACAGCGGACTGATACAGGGTCGGGTACGGCCAGGGGCCAGAGCGAACTGATGCAGGGTCGGGTAGGGGCCAGAGCGGACTGATGCAGGGTCGGGTTAGGCTAGGGTCCAGAGCGGACTGATGCAGGGTCGGGTAGGGCCAGGGGCCAGAGCGGATTGATGCAGGGCCGGGTAGGGCCACAGCGGACTGATACAGGGTCGGGTAGGGACAGGGGCCAGAGCGGACTGATGCAGGGTCGGGTAGGGGCCAGGGCCCAGAGCGGACTGACCCTGAGACATGCGGTTCACGAGCAGCCAGTCTCCATCGGCGGCCTCTGTGTTGTCAAGCGTGGCTGGCACCTGGAACAGACGGCACTCGGCCGCCCCGCGACTGAACGCCACGCTTCGGCAGGACGGACGGGCCTGGCACATGTTGCGGCACCAGTCTGTGGAGAGGGAGTGGGGACAGTATGGTACCAGTCTGTGGACAGGGGAGTGGGGACAGTACGGTACCAGTCTGTGGACAGGGGACAGTACGGTACCAGTCTGTGGACAGGGGACAGTACGGTACCAGTCTGTGGACAGGGGACAGTACGGTACCAGTCTGTGGACAGGGGACTGTACGGTACCAGTCTGTGGACAGGGGACAGCACGGTACCAGTATGTGGACAGGGGACAGTACGGTATGTACCAGTCTGTGGACAGGTGAGTAGGGACAGTACGTACGGTACCAGTCTGTGAACAGCGGCCGCTATATGACTGAACGTGACTAGCTGCGCAATTAATAAATTTGGAGACGAGTCAGCCTAAGTTTGCCTATGAAAGCAGAACACCATTTAAATGTTTTTACTTTTACAGTACGATTTGCTGCAGCCGCCCTCAGCCGCCTCACTAAACGCCAATCTCGCCTCCGATAAGAGTGGTACATCCCCGCGCGTCCCCCGACTGATAGGAGCGGCAATCCGCTTTTATCGGCCCCGCAAAGGAGTGTGCTACTCACTCTCGTTGTCCGTGCCAGCAGTCATGAGCCGCAGGTCAGCACGGGGCAGCCGGCCGGCCGGCAGCGGCTCAGTCAGCCGGTTGAACTCGGCCGTCACGTCCTGGCACGGCTCGTCCGGCTCCTGGGGACCCTCGTACTGCGAGTACACCGCCGCCGCCGCCGCGACCAGCCAGGCCAGCCGCAGGCACACAGACAGCCCCATTGGCGGCTCAGAGGCGAGGGTTGAGCCGACAGCGGACGGTGCGCGACCAGACGCACACACACCCCGAGCGGTGTGTGTGCCGTCAGCGGGTCGTCCGGGGGTCTCTCAATTTACCCCGGGTCACACCAGGGTTGTCAAGGAGACCGCGCGACCGGGGAGACATCTTACGGCAAACGCCGGTACTACTGGTCTGGCCGCCGCATCGGTCGCAGCTGGACTACAGGGTGACACATGGGCAACGACCATGGTCAGCTGCTCATTTTCTCAGAGGAAGGCGCCCAGATGCCATCTGCAGAGCTAATAATACACGCGAAAATTGTTGATCAGGGCGCAGCGACACCACAGCCAGAATAATTACATACTTTTGAGGTGGGATAGCCTGTATGTCCGCACGACAGGATCGCCGGTAAATCAAAAATATTTGCTTTCAAAATCAACAATGCTCTGAACCAATTAGTATCACGGAACGGGACATAGTCATTAATGCTGATAGTCCATCTCGTTTCCACTCCCTCCTTGATACACCCCACAAAAGTCCGTGTGGTGTGGTCAGCCGTTCGGCTGTGTATATATTGCGGGGCGGGCCGATGCGACCCCGCGCCCGGCCACCGTCTAGTTACCTAACGCTCTGTATGTACAGCGGGCATTCCATCACACACACGGACGTCATCCGACCGCGCTCTACTGCTGCTTGGCCTCCAGCTTGAGCCGCAGCGACTCGGGCATGGAGGGCGGCGGCGGCCGCGGCACGCGCAGCGCCACCTTCACGCCGTCGTAGATGAACCACTGCAGCGCCGTCAGTGTGCCGATCATGATGATACGCGCCGTCAGGCCCTTCCACATGCCCATGAAGCCCAGGCTCTTGGCGACGTCGAGGGCCGACGAGCCCTTGGCCATGTTGAGCTTGCTGACGACAGTGTCAGCCGGGTGGGAGACGATGGCGCAGAACACGCCGGCGATGTAGCCGGCGGCGAATGTCACCACCAGCTGCTCGCCCTTGGAGCACTCAGCGCGCGGCTTGGGCACCACGTACCTGCGGACGGGGCGGGCGCGGTCAGCCGAGGGAGACGAGCGGGACGGGGCGACGGGCATCCGCAGGCGGGGAAGGTCGCGATGGGCTGCTGCCCACACTGCGTCCAGATGGATCTATTAGGACGGCTCCAATCGGTTACAATGGGGATGATCTGTCATGCCACTTCGGCCAGACACCAGTTTTACAATAATTTGCATGGGGAAGGGGGAGGGGTTACACCGTTACGAGATTGATGAACGTCGTTCGACCTACACACCACTCATTTTTGTCATCACTTTCCTCGTTCATTTTTTCACACCATTGCCGACTGGCTACCCGCACACACATCACAACCTCAGCACAAGACCCCCTGCTACTCACTGGTAGAGTGCCTCAACGGTGCGCTCGAAGCAGGCGAATTTCATCATGGTGTAGGGGATCTGACGGGCCCAGAGCGGCGCCACGCCCTTGTAGAAGCCCCACCAGCCCTCCTGCTGCATGATGATCGGGAAGCCGGCGCGCAGCGTCGCTGGGAAGCCCGGCATGGTCTGGATCCGCACCTGGTGACGGACAGAGCGCGCGTGAAAACCGCGGGAGTCGCACCAGTGTCCCGACCGATCAGACCACTTCGGCGGTTGCATGTTACATATGCACAAGCAGCGACGGCCTTACGATTTTCGTATGATTTATTTTGTTCACCTATACTTGCCAGTAGTAAGTGACCGAAAAGTTATTAATTCATTTTGGGGTATAATTTGAAGGCCAAGAAAAAGCTGAACAGCCCAAAGGCAGTGAGCACAGAGCCCGCGACCAGCCGTACCTTGAGGCCCTCCGTGGGCGCCGTACCGTACCTTGAGGGCCTCCATGGGCGCCAGCGCGATGTCGGCGAAGAACTCGGCCGACGCCGAGGCGGCCAGGTAGAGCGAGGTGCGCCACAGGTAGGCCTTCTCCTCGCCCAGGACGTTGGAGTAGACGTGCTTGAACAGCTCGTAGAAGCCGAACTTGCACAGGCCCTGCATCGAGTAGCCGATGAGGGTGGGCGCCCAGCCGCGCGCCAGGCCTCGCACTCCCTCCTCTTTCACGGTCACCTAGCGAGAGACGGTGGACGGGTCAGAGGTCAGCCTAGCCAGGTCGAGGGCTTGTCTCGCGCCTGGGTCGGAGGTGCTGGCCGAGCTTGGCACACGACGAGGCGAACCTGAGTATATTTTCGTAAAAAACAATTGTGTGGGTTTTGACATTTTTCTCGCCTCTATTTATTTCAATGGTTGAGCAGGAGGGGGATAAGAGCTCATATATGATCAGTAAGCAAATCACATATTCAAATCAGTAAAGAGAAACAACATTTTGTTGACATGTGATAGACAGTAGGCTGACCCCATAACATCAACCTTTTCAATCACGCTACAAAGCAACCTTCTCCAGTGGCCGTCTGTTGCGTCCGTCACCACCTGCCGGGTCTACCCACCTTGAATCCGTTGAAGATGCCCTTGTACTTGTCGGCGTTGGTCTGCAGACGGCACTTGACCAGGTCGAGCGGCACGATGGCCGTATGCGTGATACCGCACGACAGGATACCGCCGAAGCCGGCGATGGCGAAGAACTTGGGCGAGCCATACTCGCAGCTGTACTCGGGCTCTGTCAACGCACGGCAGCGGCGTCAGTCGGTCACTGCCGGGCCCGTGTCCCGTCCACGGACTGGCAAGTGGGTGGGGAGGCTGGGAGGGCATGCCATTGATAACAACCAATTCAGCTGAGTCAGTCAATGCTACTAACACGCGCGCGGATGCTTGGGATGAGTGAGCACACAGTCTAGATACTGGTTAGTCTTCAATGACACTGCACTCGCAAGTCACACACTCACAGTAGAAGAGGCCACACTGGCGCCCCGAGAATGGTGTGGGTCACATAATAGTTTCCACCCTGTGTCTGCCTGCTGCATGGACAATTGATCCAACTGTGATACCAGAAACTAATGTGGTGCTGAAAAACACTAGTTGTGATAATGACAAGTAGTTACTAAGGTAGGTGGTACTGCCAGGAAACAATCAAAGTTTACCTGTGGCTTTTGTTATCAGCATATCTGTCAAGTACCTATGTGCTTTCTTTATGTATGTCAGCTATCTGTTTAGCACCTATCAGTTGCCTTGTTTGCACTTTAAAAGGCTAATCGGTCATGGACAGCATTACCACTTGGTGACATCCCTAACTATTCTAAGCCAAACACCCTAACCAAATTCATTTCCTCCTAGGTAAAACACAGGTATGTAAAAGTGTTTGTAAATAGAAAAGCATAGTCCACTACATATGTCAGAGGTTTATGGATCACCCTAGACTGACAACTAACATACCTGCTGTGCTGAAGGCGGCAATGTTGCGCCCGTGCACCAGCTGCTGCTGAGGCTGCTGGCTGGGAGCGCTAGGCTCACACTGGGCCACGGTCGGGAAGGGGCTGGAGCGGGCGGTGTCCCACAGGGAGCGAATCATGGCTGGGTCCTGTCAGTACAGTTCAATGCACACAATTAAATCAAACATTGCAGCAAGCATTGGGACACTCTGGCAACAGCATGCAGATCAAGCTTATTAGACAAATAACGACCTGATTTGATTTGAACAAAACTAAACAAGAATATTAGTTTCTACTTTCTACAACAGGTGAACATACAAGAACTCTTAAGCTGAGTTAGATCAGTCACTTTTTACATAGATAAATGCTAAAAATGTCAAACCAACTGCAATGTCACACTTGTTAGTACTATCAAAAGCACACCAAAAAAAACAAAACAAATATTTGCATAGGACCAGCAACCAGGTATTCCCAAAATTTATCTTTTGGTAAAAGTGAAATATGATTATACTGATACAGCAAATGCATGTCGATTGGTGAAAAAAAAATACAATGTGTCAGATTTGTTTGCATTAATGAGAGCGAACTTCAACTACCATTATGTGGTCATTCAATCAAATATTCCATAACCACCCAATATAAGCTTAACTGCTGTCAAATAAAGTGCCTACAATTAAACCTGGTGATTTGACAAACACAAGAGAAATAAAGAATTCATCACCTACTAAACATTACAAAAGCGAATTAATTACAATGTAATGTCCACCGGCACGACTACCTTTTGAACGGTGAAGTCCTGCAGACGGCGACAGAGGAAAAGGACCTAGGAGTGATTGTTGACGCGGAGCTGAAGTTCAGGAGGCAAGCAGCGGCAGCGGTCAACAAGGCATCTCGAGTGATGGCCGTGATAAGACGGTCATTCAGCCTGCTGGACAAGATGACCCTGCCAATCCTGTTCAAGACGCTTGTGCGACCGCTCCTGGAGTACGGTAACATTGTCTGGGGGCCATTCAATCGAGCGGATCAGCTCCTCATCGAACGAGTCCAGCGCCGAGCGACCAAGCTGGTCCAGGAAGTACGTCACCTACCGTACCAGGAAAGACTGAAGTCTATGAAGCTGCCTTCCCTCCACTACCGACGTCGACGCGGCGACATGATCGCTGTCTACAATGTGCTGCATGGGAGACTGGACCTGAATCCGGAGGAGCTCTTCAACCAAGTAACGACCAGAGATACAAGAGGACACTCCTGGCGTCTTGCGAAGCCCCATGCCGTCACCCGCATCCGTCGAAACGTGTTCGCAGTCAGAGTCATTAACGACTGGAACAGCCTACCATCATCCGTCGTAGACGCCGACTCTCTAAACTCGTTCAAGAACCGGCTCGACACTCACTGGAGACACCTCCACTTCACCCCGCCCCTACCATACGAACAGTAACACTGTCAAACACGAAATCGACTAGAGCGGACACTACAGGCCTTGGGCCTCTCAAAATTTTCCGTGCATCTTAAGTAAGTAAGTAAGTAAGTAATGAGCACCTGCTTTACTATTTTATACCCCAATATTTTTTTGCATTGCCACACATTTTTTTTTTTTAGCTGACACAAATAAAAATTGTCCTTTTTAGTCATTTGCTTCACATGCCTTATTGCTTACCCATCGCTCATACACTCAATCACCCCGTAAATAAAAAATGAAGGCCAAATTCCAGCTATTCCTGAATCCTGACCGAACTTCAATAATTTATGAAAAGGGTTCTCTACATCACATTTTAAATTACATCAAGTCAAGAGCTGAGAATGTTATGATAAAGTCAATATACATTGTTGTCAATAGGAAAGCTTCATGGAAAACTACATGCTCCTTGCACATAGTTTAATTAACTCATGAATCTGCATCATTCAGTTCTCTTACATATCTAGCTTATGTTACAATGACTTCCTTCTTTTGCAGCCTCTAGAAAACTCAAGAAATTGACAAAATAAATCATGAAAGGAAGGAAAACATTATTCTTAGCTTGAAAAGTGAAACCACACAACAATACTTAAATATTTTCACACAGAGCGTTTATTAGTTTCGCCTGACCACATCTTGAGTCAGATGCAAAAGTTACATTATAGGTAAAATAAGGTCAGGTTAGGTTGTATCATTTCTTCTTGAAGTGTACCTGTTTTTCAAGAATTAATGATTTTATGAACAAATTGCCAGGTTGACACAGTTTGTGATGATACGACGTGGTTTTTATTCAATTTTGAGCCTAGCGTGCAAAATAGGGATATTACAAATCCAGGAACAGCAATGTGAATATACCCAAATATCCTAGGAAAAGACATGAAGCCATAGACCTTTCTCTCTAGCCTTTTGGGCGGAAAACAAGCATGAAAGTCAAATTTTCGAATGCATGATGCATATATGACGCATAAGCGACGTTATGAAAATGTAAATCACTGTCCTCAGTAGCCATGACTAGCCACAAAAATATATATTATTATACTCATTTTCATGAATGACCGACGGCAACACATATTTATTCCTCTGCATACCTTTTCGCAGCTATTTGCAGCCACTCAGTTGAGGAAATTCACCCAACCAGTCGACCGGCGCTGGGGTCACACGGCAAGAGAAAGAAAATTTTTCTTGAACTATGGCGTTACCAAATATTCGACTAGATAAATTCGACTGAGAACTGTAGATGTACCTTTCAAAAGAAGTCTTAGTCCTTAAGTCCCATCAAAAATCCATTCAAGTAATAATCGTTAAAAATTCATCATATACATGAGTGCTTTTCAACAAATAGCATACTGAGAAAACATTTTAGGATATGGTAGATTTGCGGTAGATAGTAGATACTATCTGCAAAGGCGTTCCCAGGCACTTCTGCATGGGAGGCTACAGCAAGGGGGTCATAGGCGGCGGAACGGGAAGGGCACTGGGGCGCCGTGCCCCCCCCTTTGATTTTGGCATTTTAACATTAGCCCTATGGGCGTTGCATGGAAAGAATGGGACCAGAAGTCGGCAGTGCCCCCCTTAATTGAGGGTGTTCCGCCGCTACTGAAGGGGGTCATCCATCCAATTCCTAACCCATAATCTTGACCCATAATTTTCCATAATTTCACCACCGCAAATGCTAGCAATCATTTAACTATTCTTATGCATGGAGCAGATTGGATAACTGCTATCGACATAACAGCGGCTTTGCTGTACCGCCGTTTCCTCGTATGACTGACGAGCCTCTCGACTTCTCGAGCACTTGCCAATAAAATAAACAATGAACATCGATGTCTATCGTCCCTGACTTCCAATGCTTACTTATTTCAGTTATCAGTTACAGCAGAATCATATCCGTAGATGTCGCCCGCTGCGTAATTTCGCTGCAGTTCTGACGGTTTGGAGGGCAAAGATCGTCTCACGTTGAATTTCCTGAACAGCCTGAACAACGTGCGTGCAGTTTCCCAGATTGAAAAAAAAATGCTACTGAAGACGGACAATGAACCAAATTGCCCTAGTAGCTCAACCTTTGCACTCAGCACCAAACAGACTTTTGGAAACAATTATGTGCTGCTGCCTATTGCGTAGCTACCAAATAAATAAATATATAAATAAACATATAAATAAATAATCATCCTTGCTGGGCTAAATCTTATAGTTCCAGCAGAAGGCATACGTAATGGACAAGCTGAATGCAATCAATCAACATCACAAGAAATAATCATTGCCAAAACACTCAATGAAATGAAAATAAAACTGTATTTGGCCACGCTTTCACAACTCTTAGCTTGAAACAATGTCTGACACAAATACATTTTTGTACCATACCCATTTTCATGCTGAATGTCAAAATGAACATTTTTCTTCATGTCGACAAATTTCGACGCCAAAATAAGAATCGGCTATTAGCACGATGCAGGCTTGTCTCACAGCAAATGCCACGAGAATGACAGCAGAGAAACGTTTTTTGAAAGTGTCAATGAATCGGTCTTTCAAAGTCGAAAAAGACGCTGACAAGGAGTGGCATGCAGCTCAGCTACCAGTTCGATGTCCCACAGTGAACGAGAATACATTAATCACGATAAAAGGACGGCGCACTGCTGACGGGATCCCGAACCGCACAGCCCAGAGTTTCAGTTCAGCGGTCCCGCCGCGTGGCGCCTTCACCACATGCTCACCAATTCAGTCCCGGCTGTCTCCACAATTGAACACTCCCAGTCGCGACCCCACAGACGTGCCGCCCCCTCACTCTGGCACGCCCCACAGTTTGACGGTGCCCGCGTCGCGGTCGCGCTCGTCCTTATCGTCGCAGGCGAAGGCCAGCACGTAGCGGCTCGGGTGCCAGGCCACCGTGTACGTGGCCGCCTGGACGGGCACCGTGGTCACCCGCTCGCCGCTGCTGACGGCGCTGATGTCGATCAGCAGGTCCTCAGAGGCGGCCGCCAGCAGCTCGCCGTCGTGGCTGAAGCTGAGCGTCCGCACTGGCCAGTCGAGCCTGCCGCCGCCACAGAGCAGCACGTGAGCGGAGCACACCAGCAGTGCACACGGTGACACACATTTACATACTCGTAACTGTAAAATTAAAAAATTTGAACTGATGAAGCGGTAGAGATCTAGAGAAATTCCATCCATTACCAACGCACCTTAGAAGATTCATTTGTTCAGACAAACAACAGATTTTTCATGATAGATAAAAACGACAGAAAAAAAGATAAACTTCTGAGGCGATTCTTAGGCATATTTCGTGACAAAAAAGTGATAATACCCCGAAGGGACGCGAGCTGAATGAAATAATGCATATTAGCCCTATTAGTGGCAGGGGGTTGTTTTTATCCACCCCTCAGGTTTTTTTCGGGAATATCTCCGAAACCGCTGAAGCTACGATGCTGAAATTTTCTGACTTTTCCTAAAACTAAATTGGGCACATTCCCTGAAAATTTCAAGTTCATAACTTTACCAGGGGCGGCTCCAGAGCACTGGGAATTGGGGGGTCCTATTCGTGAAGCGAGTCATTTGGGCGAAGATCACGATGCTGCACCAGTTTTACGAACAGTGAATAAAAGGTATCATGTGATAACATATACAGTTATTGTGCATCCTCTTTTGACACGTTTTTGCTATAATAGGCGGATCCAGGCGTCCAAAAAGGGGGGTTATGTTTTACCTCCCAACATAGGTGCCCTGACACCGCCTATGCATTACCAATACAATTTTAGTCGTTCTCTCATAAGAAAATTATAACATAACAAGACCATTACCACCCTTTTTAGAAACAGTACCAACAAAAACCTTATTTACTATACTTTTTGTGTACCCCCAATCTCAATGATCTGTATCCGCCTATGATTTTTGAAAATGCATATTTTTAGGATCCATGTGAATTCCTGGTTCATTCTCTATCGATCGGCAAAAGTTGCGTTAAGATTGGTTCAGAAACCTGGCCGTGATAAACAGTCTAAAATGTATCTGCAATTTGCCCGTTTTTACCCCCCTCTACCCCCCTATTGACATTTTTTAATTTTTATTTTTTAGAAATGTAGATCACGTTGAGCGAAATCGAATGCCGTTTGAATTTTGAAAATCGGCCCGTTAGATCTCGAGATATCAAGGGGGGTCGTAAACAGCCCCCCCCCCCTGCCACTAATAGGGGTAGCTAGGAGCCTGCCACTAATAGGGTTAATTGTATAATCTACCCTTTGAACGAAAACAGACCCATAAATTTGTGATTCATCATGCGTAAACAACCGGGATAAAATCCTCTTAGCCACGTGTAGCTGGTTTGTAAGTTGAAACTTGAAAGATGCATTGTTTTCGTGCATAAGTCGAATCCTGTGTCTGATAACGACGTACCATGATACCTTCATCATTATCCAGTATCCACGTTCGGTTGATCAACTGCTTCAGAAAGGTCGAACTTAAATGTTGCCATACATCGATTAGCTAGCAGCTACTCTTTGTTTTGATGGTGAAACATAATCGCACCTCACTGGATATTCACGCCAGACGCGTATTTTCTGATAGGTTTCGTCGTTTCGTTAATTATCTAAATCCAGAAAGTATGCCTGGACGCATTATCAAGGGATAATGTGAACACACCCAGAATAGCCTGGTTATCACAAAGTACTCGGGCATCACCAATTACACTATCGCTACTGCACTATCGGACTATCGCCGCTGCATTAACCTCCTCTTATATAATCGGGATTTCACCGCCTGTTTTGCCTTTGATCAGTTGGCTGGTTACCTTTCCATGAATAACAAAAGCCAAGCCAAAGGGTTGCACTAAGTATACCGTACAGCAGCTGGCAGTTCCGCGGCTGCTTTGCATCTCACTCCACTGCAATAGTATGCGAAAGAAAAACTAACAGAATAAACGAAAGAAATAAAAAGCTCGTCGTTTGGCGACATCGTTCGGCCTGAAACTCGATACCCTTCCCATCCACGGTTGCCAGCGGGCTCAGAATGCAGCAAACGGTACCCTTCAGTTCCCTCCGTCCCGCCCCCGAGCGCCGACCGCCCGGCCACCGACCTGGAGACGGTGTGGCGGCACATGAGCTGCTGGGCGTCCCAGACCGAGAGCAGGGCGTCCGCTGAGCCCACGGCGAAGTGGCGCCCGGTCGGGTCAAACTCGATACAGATGCAGTTGGCTGGGTGCGCCACGATGTCGTGCTGCACCTCCAGACTCGGGTAGCTGCCACGAAGGGGGGAGGCGGCTGGTCAGCGGCGAGGAGAGCGAGGGGGATAGCAGTGCAGTCCTAGGTTCGCGCAACCAGAGATGACGCGAAAGCTGATGGATATGTGGTTTGGGTAACCGGTAAAAAAAAAAACGACAAAAAACAAACAAGCTAGTTAGGACCAAGTTAGGACCACTAGATGACGCAAACACCGAAGAAAAATATCTGTCTTCTTTTTATAAAAGGCCCATGCGTAAAAGCACACGAAAGAAGTTGATAAGCTAAATAAAAACAACGTTACAATTGCGTGCACTTAATAACACATCAACAATTTTGCGACGGCTTCAGGTAGTGTGTTGGAGGAATACGTACAAGTTCGGCAAAAATGGGTTATGCCAACAGCCAAGCTTATGAGTTCCAAGAAAGACGGCTGCGTGACAAGAAGTCCACATTACTCAAGCAAGACGCGATGTATTGACGGTAAATGTTGGTTTAATGACACAGTGTCAAGCTACCAACGGAATGAAGGCAGGCAAGAAGAATTCAGCATAACGTTGACCAAGTAAATAAATCTCAGACAGCCATTGTTGGTAGAGCCAGATTCCAGAATGTCACTGACGAATACCCGAAGCTCGTTACTTATCCAAACATTTGAGCATGACAATCGAAACAATCAGCTGTTGCATGACGAGAGTCAGATAAGACGACAATAAATGTGGTTACCGCACCCCAGACGACAAGCTACTCCATTTGACGCAAAGGAATACGGTTTTCCAAAGTGGGAACATTACATATGTTGCAACAACAGACCTAGTAAAAGATAACTATTACAGTTGTAATTAAAACTGATGTTAACCCTATTAGTGGCAGGCTCCTGGCTACCCCCTATTAGTGGCAGGGGGGGGGCTGTTTACGACCCCCCCCCCTTGATATCTCGAGATCTAACGGGCCGATTTTCCAAATTCAAATGGCATTCGATTTCGCTCAACGAGATCTACATTTCTAAAAAAAAAAATACAATTAAAAAATGTCAATAGGGGGGTAGAGGTTGGTAAAAACGGGCAAATTGCAGATACATTTTAGACTGTTTATCACGGCCAGGTTTCTGAACCAATCTTAACGCAACTTTTGCCGATCGATAGAGAATGAACCAGGAATTCACAGGGATCCTAAAAATATGCATTTTCAAAAATCATAGGCGGATACAGATCATTGAGATTGGGGGTACACAAAAAGTATAGTAAATAAGGTTTTTGTTGGTACTGTTTCTAAAAAGGGTGGCAATGGTCTTGTTATGTTACAATTTTCTTAGGAGAGAACGACTAAAATTGTATTGGTCATGCATAGGCGGTGTCAGGGCACCTATGTTGGGAGGTAAAAAATAACCCCCCTTTTGGACGCCTGGATCCGCCTATTATAGCAAAAACGTGTCAAAAGAGGATGCACAATAACTTTGTATATGTTATCACATGATACCTTTCATTCACTGTTCGTAAAACTGGTGCAGCATCGTGATCTTCGCCCAAATGACTCGCTTCACGAATAGGATCCCCCAATTCCCAGTGCTCTGGAGGCGCCCCTGGTAAAGTTATGAGCTTGAAATTTTCAGGGAATGTGCCCAATTAAGTTTTAGAAAAAGTCAGAAAATTTCAGCATCGTAGCTACAGCGGTTTCGGAGATATTCCCGAAAAACCTGAGGGGTGGATAAAAACAACCCCCCCCCCCCTGCCACTAATAGGGTTAACCCGCGAGTTGCTGGGGGGGGGGCGTTAAACGCCCCCACTTTTTTCGCCGGGCCATAGCATAAAAACGGCGCGCCGCAGGCGCGCCAAATTTTGGGTACCTGTAGGGAATTGATTGAAGTTTATTTTGACAAAGTTTCAAAAAAAAATCGGTCGGAAAATTTTTGAGATATCGAGGTTTTAGTGACGTCATGATTTCTGAGTTTTCGACCAAAAACGGCATATGTTCAAAAAATCATATAAAATCACAGAATAGACGTACAGACATGCCGTAAACGCCATTAGACTGCCAATACCATGATCAATCAAATGGCTATCTTCGATTATTGATTATCGTTCCATATTTTCCAAAATCTTGAACTGAATCTTGGCAATTTTTCGTAACTACACTGTAAACTACACTGTAAACTACTACTACACTTTTTTTGTACTTCACGACCATGATACATGAATTTCTTAAATTGAACTTTTTGAGCCAAACACGTACACATATGATAAAATGAATGTCACCATCGTGTTCTACGCCCCAAATTACCTATAAAACATGTGTCACAGGCTGCGAATATCAGTTTTGATTTTCGGGGATATGTGCCTACCCGGTTGACCTGACCTTGACCCTGACCTATGCTTGACTGACCCCTATATGAAGCTGACACTCTTGTAGGCCTTATAAGATGGATTGTGCACCGTTTTGACAGAGTTTATGGCGAGAGGCGCCCATTGCGAAGTCCTGAAGGCCATGCTACTGAAAGCCCGATTTCAGGTGTTTGACCTGACCTTGACCCGACCTGTGACCTCAAAATTCAACTTTAAAGTACTCGTCTGAAGCGTCTCGTCGCGCTCTTTCGTTTGCCGCCTCGTGCGTTTCGCTGCGCCTATTGGTTCTCGAGTTATCGGCTGGGGGCGTTTAACGCCCCCCCCCCCCCCCCCCAGCAAACGGTGGGTGGCGAAATACCCCAGCAACTGCCGGGTTAAGCTACATTCTACGTGAGACGTGTAGGTAAATGACGCGAGAATATAACCAATAGCGTTTCAAGTAGCGAGTCATTTACCCTACTGCTAAACCCATACCAAATAACCCACGCCTTTCCCAGATCCACGCAGTGCCTACCTCAACACCACGATGTGGCCGCTGCCCGACGTCATGAAGAACAGATTGTTCTCGCGGTTCCACGTGATCTCGTTGACCTCGAAGCGGAACTGTTCGTCGCGGACGATCTTCCGCTGCCGCACGTCAATGAACGACACCAGGTCCTCCTTGTTTCCGACAGCGATCGTTTGACCATTTGGCGACCAGGAAATGTTGATGTTCTCTCCTGGTTGTATTAAACGGACAAATTTTGAGCAATTAGTTTCCTAAAAATCCATACGGTGGCTTATGGATGAACTTTCTCAGGCACAGCATATACAGAAATGCATTCTGGTGAATTTTACTTGGAACATTACAAATTAACATTGGTTAATTGGGAAATGGCTATGAACTTGTTATCAATGGAACCAAGAGCAATGTACTTCTGCATTGTCTCAAACACTAGCTAATTAGCTATCCATATCAGCCCATAGGTACCTACTACCTACTAACTTGCAATATACCACACCACTACCATACCAGATGAGTTACAATGAGAGATGTAGGTACTTAGGTACCACCAACTTGACTGGCTCAAACATGAAGAAGAGCATCATGCAGTAGGACATTGGTGATTGGCCAGTGGCCACAGAATATTAAAATGCATACCTTTTGTGGGTAAAGTAGCCACAAGCTTCTGAGCTCTGGCATCCCAGAGTCTGACAGTTTTGTCACCACTAGCAGTGGCCAGCTGATCCCCATGGCTGGGGTGCCAAGTTAGCTGGTCAACGCTGTCACTGTGCCCTCGGAAGGTGTGGTCCTTTATCTGAAATAAATTAACATTCACTGTGGGGCTATTCTCCTGCATACCACTAGATCATTCACATTTCATACTAATATTAATTAGCTTAACTTATTGTTTAAAAATGACACTTACCTACCTAAAAACTAAAAGTAAAAAAGCAGTTTAAATCAGCAATCCCCTGCCACTTAGCACAAAAATACCGGCTAGCTTGTTAAGAGGTATGCATTCATATATTAGTTAAGCCATTATATGAGGTACTAAGTCCTAAATATTGAAATGTGAATGATAATCAGCAAGCACTGTTGGTCAGTTCCTCCTCTTGCACCCTTTGAAAACTGGGCAAGCAGCATGCTCCCCAGCATCCAGAGCTCCTTTTCCGTATCTTCTATCACATAAAACTTACCAGTCTGTCTCGATCTAGAATAAAAACGCAAACAGATTTGTCAAATGATCCTGAAGCAAGTCTCCTCCCATCACAGTTCCAGTCCACAGAGTGAACCTTTGCTCCATGACTTGGATAATCTCTTGGTCGACCAGCATTCTTCAAAAGGGCTTTGAGATCTTCAACATTTTTCAAACCCATTTTTGCCAGTTCTCAATTAATATAAGAATATATACAAGTTACAATCTTCCACACAATAAGCACAATATCAGTAGGCGGAACTATGGTCAAGCGTACCCATTTTCGGGAACGCATTTTCGTTCCCATATTTGGGAACGATAAACCCAAATATGGGAACGCCATGTAGGCATTATTTAAAACAAGAAAAAGAACCGTTAAATGACGTCCAAAAAATATAAAACGATCGTGAACCACCTGATATTTGTCTCAATATTGTTGGGAAAGAGTTTGATATTGTAAGGCCCATCGTAGTTTCAAATCGTTCCCCTATTTCTAAAGCAGTCCATCATCCGGGCCGCGAGCCCAAATTTGGGAACGCTCTCGTACACTGGCGCTGCAAGCGTTCCTTATTATGGGAACGGCGTACCCAAAATTGGGAACGATTTCACCGACGCCTTTCAGGGGCTCTTTTCATTAACAAGCATCACGTCCAACGCCGCAAATTATTGTTAACGCAACAATCATCAGATGACCCTTCCGGCAAGACCGTCGCATGTTTCGCCCGGTCTTCTGCGCTTTTATTCCCGTCGATCTCGCAGCGGGCACGCCCCCCTCTGCAGGATTACGTAATTCACAACGCTCAGCGATGTTCAACAAGGTCTTCCATGCCTATATCCACCGTCCGCGCCGAGGGTGGAGACATGTCAAGCACCTGTCTGTTTATCACCGATAGTTGACGAGCACAAGGAAGTATCCAAAAATGGGAACGCTGAAGATGTTACACCCTCAAAACACCTAGTCCCAATGAAAATCTAGTTTTTTCCTTTCTTGATGAGTGTAAGTGGCAAAAGTCCTGGTAGGATGGGCACGAGGAATGATCGAAATCAGCATAAAAATTATAAATAAGCCACACAGAGCGACCTATATAAGAGAAATTCCCCCAAAACGATCACGCTTAGAAACACGGAAGACAAAAACCACGCTCATGACGCTCCTTATAAAACAACTCTAAACAGCTAGCATCCAAATAAAATATGTCTATCTGGGATGATATAATACAGCTGAATAATTTTAAACCACTGAAACTGAGTTTACAACAGTAGTTCGGTAAAATCACTGACGTTCCATGCGGTCGTGCGCCCCGACACCAATGTCACCAATATTACCCCCGGACTGTCCGCGTGTTCGCTTGCATATGTCAGCATCTGGTGTCGCTAGTATGAAACTTCATAACCAGGCGAAAATTATTATACTTGACCTCAAAATGTAAAAAACGCTTCATTTTCCTTAAAATTGCAAGTTAAATGTAGTATAACCCATGTTTTCACCATTCCGTCATTTCAAAAAATCATTAAAAATATCATTCGACGGTCAATTTCCTTGTGCAACGGTCAGATTAAAGATAATTTTATAGAGACTTAGTAGATACTTAAATTAGCGTGCACTTTTTTGATACGTGATGCACTTATGAGTTTTAGTGGGCGAACGGCCGAAAAATTACCTTCCGTTCCCATAAATGGGAACGCCCGTTCCCATATTTGGGAACTCCGTTCCCAAAAATGGGAACGTTCCTATATTTGGGTACTCATGACCATAGTTCCGCCTACTGATATCTCATGTGGTTTCGCGCGACTCGGCTGTTGTGTTTCTTGTGTTCTAAGCCTGTCGCTTATCATTGCAAGCGGACAAATCAAACGACCCTAGTATGTATAAATAAAATCATCGCAATACTTGGCTAAGCTAAATATATTTAAGCATAATATATTCATAGAAGCGTGAAAAACTATCTTATTTGCAAACAATTACAAAAACTATGTTAAAAATAATGAAATAAAGGTGAGAAGCTGTTCATGTAGAGCATCAATCATCGATACAGAACATAAAAGCTTCACCTTTCCTTCGCCCACAAATGCAACTGCTGCGTGATTTTTGTCATAAAAGTTACACTAATTTGCAGCAGAACGTAAGGAAATCATTCCATGTAGTCAAAGCGAAATATAAATTCAAACTTCTTATGGTTTCTTATTTTAATGGTTTATGGTGGTGGTAACTGGTAGTAACAACTCAAGTAACTATTGATAGCTTGAACAAATGATTGTTAAATCCTTTCGCCACTGTAATTTTCGGGAACATCATATTTTACTCATAAGTGCTTCAGGAAGGTGAGGCGTGAGCCAATGCTGTTGCATGGCTGTTGCTCTACTATAGACAGCATGAACAATAATGACCATATGACCATGCCTACATACAAAAGTCCTTTTTCTATGGCAGTGACAGTATAGCAGTGAGTTTTCTGTTTTCTATGGCAGTGACAGCAGTGACAGCCACTCTGTCAGTTTCTCGGAACTCGCCACCCCCCCCCCCCCCTCCCCGACTCTAAACTCTAACCCCAGGCCAAGAGAGGAACTAGACAATGATCGCTCTAAGCTAGTCGACGCAAAGAGCACATACAAGCTATGAAACACTGCCAAAATCCCGTGAAGTAACGTCATACGATTTCATAGCAATATATCAGCCATTTATCATTATTTATCAAATGCATGCTATCTCGAGCTTCTTCAGCTCCATGGCTATTGTGCCATGTTTTGGCAGCAGATTCTGATGCTTGTCATTTGCCACTCCCAGCAGGCATTCTGCTCCTCCTACCCTGTCTATAACCTACAGCTTCATTCAGCCTTCAGCCAAAGAATTCATTCAGCCATGAGCAACGATAGTGCAACTTGACATCTTGAGTACCTATAGGTACTGCTCCTATTGGATGTGCGTAACAGCAAATAAAGGCAAAACCACAGTGTATAGGCAAAACTATAAGAGCAGCGCTATTCGCCGAAGCCGTGCAAGCCAGCAATTCAGCACGACAACCGGAGGACATATGCATCGAATTGCGTGCGTGACATGAGGTGATTACAGGTAACCTCATCATCACACCCCGTCGGCACGTTTGGAGTCACCTTGTCTGCCAGGAGCGGTCACTGGATGCGCTGGGGGCGGATCTAGGGGTCATGTCTGGCCCAGCGCCTCGGGGGAGGGGCGGCCGGAAATAGAACTGCTCGGCTGTCAGTCGGAGTAGGTCGTCGCGTGCCCGGCCTGGAGCTCCGGCCGGTCGAGAGGCGCAGTGAGTCGAGTGAAGCTCCCGCTGGTGGACCCCAGGGACCTCTGAAAGACTGAACCTGACGGCCGAGGCGATTATTTCATGGCACGAACAGCGGAGTTGGAAACTCAACAGAGGAGTGGAACACCGAGGGGCAGTTTGGCACCCACCAGGTGAGATTTTAACCCGCGCCCTGCTGGGGGTGTTTGAACACCCCCCCCCCTTGTGGTTTTTTGCAAATATCTCAAAAACGGCGGCGCGGAGCGCCGCCGTTTTTGGTACACCTTATCATACATCAATTCTACACATGTTGTGAAAATTTCAGACCAAGGTCATTCAAGGTCAGGTCACCAGGTCACTTGAAGTGACCTCGCCTCATAAAAAGTTTCAATGTCTGCCATAGCTACACCGAATGACCGATCGCTTTGAAACTTTCAGCGATTGATAAGGGTAACAGTATCTATCAAATTTATATCTCGGAATTTTGATATCGGTGACCTAAGGTCAGGTCAATTTTGCGACCTCCCCATTATAAGTCAATGGGAGAAAATTGAAACGCGCCTCTTTTGGACGAAAGACATTATAAACACTCCCAAACACTGAATTACAAGTGGGTTAGACACACTGAACATGAAAATGGTGTCCGTGACCCCTATTTATGCCCCTGAGGTCATCTCAGGTCACGAATGGTGTCTAACAGTTTTTCGCAAATAACTTTTGATAGAGGCATGCTAGAGCGATGAAAACGCCTTAGATGTGCTCGGCTCGATGATACGGATCGACTGATATGCAACATGACCCTTTCCGGTCAGGTCATGACCTTGAATTGAGGTCAAATTTTCAAGTTGACCTTTCAAGGTCAAGTTATAGTTCATTCGATGCGTCTTGACGAGAGGAACACGATGCCGGCAAAAGTAAGCTCGTTCAAGGCTTGGGTCAAAAGTTATTGCAGAAAAACTGTTTCCGAAAAAAATCGGCTATTTTTGCAGTTTTTGCCCCCTGCAGGCAAAACCGTTGACGTTAGGTCAAATCTGAGGGAATTACTCAGAAAGGGCGTTAATAGGGCTATCGAATGCGCTTTTCCGCGGCGCTGTAGCCTTATTGGTTCCCGAGTTATGCGTTGGCTTCCTGAAAATTGTCGACATTCGACCTGAAAATCGGCGAAATTTTGCCTTCAATGACCTCTGGTGACCTGACCTTTAACCTGACCAAAAAAGTGACCGAAGTGATTTCGTCATTATTTTTGGCGCTCTTTCGAACGCCGCCTTCCGCGTATCGCTACGTGGCCCAGGAGCCGAGTTAGAAGGGGGGGTCATAGGTGGAGAATTGTGACCAGCTGGGGGTGCTCGGGCGCAGCAAATCCGCCGCCGCCTAGCGGTGACCTTGACCCGCGCCGCCCGGCCGCGGCTCCAAAGCCAAGCCGGCGTGGCCGGCGTGGAATTGGGAGAGCTCGAGCACCCCCAGTCCAGCACAATTCTCCACCCGTGGGGGGGGGGGGGTGTTCAAACACCCCCCCCCCCCCAGCAGGGCGTGGAAATCCAGGACCCCCAGCCGGGCGTGGGCTAAGGTGGATAGGAGGACAGCGGTTAAACGCAGGCCTTTGTAAGGGACGCCATTTAATTGCGTCCCAGAAAAGCTATTTCTGGCACCTAAAAGCTGACTCGCCCCAAAATTGGTCCTCAGCACCTATTTGGTGGATACCAGCACCAATCATGGAAAATGACCTTAATTAGCTGTTTCTGGCACCTATTCATCGGTACGCCTTACTCTTTTTTCTGAATCTGGCACCTAAATGCTGAGCGTAGCACCAATCTAGTGGAAAAATGAACTACTGGCTGGTAGAATCATGTTGTTCTGGTATAATGACCCCTGGAGTCTAGCCTAAAGGTTGCCAGTGCAGCTACACTCTAAGACAGCCCCGTAGTGATCTCAGCATTGTATATGACGTTTAAGTAAGCAACTAATATTGATTTGTTTGAAAAAAACAATGTCAATTAAATATTTAAAAGTATTTATTTGCAATGCTTAAAGGGAAACATTTTTGTGAGTAATTGTCTCGATTTTGACCATTACAACGGGTATTGTATTTTTTGACGTCATCAAATAGCTCTAAAAAAGAAATGTAATGTTTTCATTCCGTTCAAGGCCGCTGAAGAAACGCGGGATCTTGCGTGGAATATTGTCCGTTGTTTACCGCGCAGAGGAGTTGTGCCGTGGTTGTGCCTTTTTCATCCGTTTCTTACTTATGTGTGCATGAAGCTTTGATTTTGTTTTTGGTTATTGTGTGGCCGGTCAGTCAAACGCCCCTGTAGAAACCGGATGCTGCGTTTGATCGAGATGGAGTCAGACGATGATTGCAGAAAGCTATTGAAAAGAGGGCCGGTTGCGTGGCATGTCTGTTCAGAGTTGACATTTTGCTTTACTCCAGTTTATGACCTGAGAGCCTGGCTGGAAGTGACGGATCCAAACTTTTCACGTTAGAATGGCTGAGGGTGCAATAATCTCTACATAGCGGGCTGGTATAGGAGCATCTTGCTATGCTGCACCAATAGCTGGCTAGTGATTCTCTTTTGGCTAGAAATGGCATTAGCCATTAACCCGCGCGGGGCTGGGGGGGGGGGGGGGGTAAATTTTACCCCCCCTCGCGAATTTTTGCGATATCTCAAAAACGGCGGCGCGCAGCGCCGCCAAACTTTCAGTACCTTTTCTTACATCAATTTGACACGTTCCCTGAAAATTTGAGCGAAATCCGTCGGAAAATTGTTGAGAAATTGACGTTTTAGTGACGTCATGTTCGCCATTTTCGCCTCAAAAACGGCAAAAGTTCAAACGCCGCTAGCATCTTCATTTTTAAAGGAATCAAGACGTAACAAAAAAGTTTATACGTAATTTTACTTTGTCTATCAAATGGCTATCTCGGTTTTTTGAAAATTTTGGATTTTGGCCTAAATTTTTTTCAAAAAACTGACTTTTTTGGGAAAATCATTATAAAATCCAAAATTTTGAGTCTATCGAAAAAACCGGTATATATGTCAGAGAAGTGGTCTATGTGCACCTACATACCAAATTTTAGAAGAATCGGTTCAAAAATGTGGGAGTTATTCAAAATTTTATGACGTCACGACACACAAATTTTTTGAAAAGTGACTTTTTTGGAAGTTCTAGACCTCGTACGGAAACAACAATAGCACCATTCGATTCGCCGTGAAAAACCGCATCAGATAGACACCTTTTTAGGCCTTAACAACCAACTTCAAAATTTGACCTCACTTGACCTGACCTTGACCTGACCTCGACCTGAAATTCATCCAGAGGTGGTCCATATCACTTATTAAGTGTGCCTATTGAATTCTATGAGTAAAATGACCCATAAAACATGTGTCGCACATGCCCTTTTCTATATTTTGTTTTTTGGTGACCTGACCTGACCTGACCTGACCTTGACCTTGACCTCTGAATGATGTTGTATGCAACGAATATTGTCTTGGTAGCCTAAGAACACGTTTTGGGCGATCAGTCTCAGTCCATGACTCCATTCTTCGGCAACTACGGTGCAAGGCCGATACTGTAGGAACTTGCAATT